ACTGAGATAAAGAGCATGAAATAAAGTAGTTTTTGGTAAGCAAAATTAGTGTATACAACTTTTTTGATAATAATGGAGCCAATACCTGGTTAGGTAAACTTGAAGCATGTTATAGCTAAACTTGAGTAATTTTAGAGTACTAAACTCTATTTATTTCAGCATTCAAAGTTTTTCTTCAATGCAGTCTCATTGGAACTATATACTTGAAGACCAAGGTCTACTGTACAGTTTACTTTTAAAAATAATCTCAAGTAGCAAAGCTTTAGCAATCTGACACTTCTCAACTTTAATGGAAACTGAACGTATTTAATACTGTTTAGCTTTACAAACAGAAAAAACTACCATAACCATTTTCCTTTCTCCCAATAAGAAAACATACATCTTTTTATGTTCAAATTCTGAACAATTAGAAATTTTCTAAAATGCACATATTCAGAATTTATAGTGAACAATTTATGTATCTCCATCACTTGTATTTATTTTTCAATAAATATCATGATCACACTGAAAATTTTTTCAACTTTCTTTTGGGGCTTATGGATTAGTGAATGTTTACTGTATTGAAAACAATCTAATGACCAGTCATATGCTGCATAAGAAAAATATTGCAAATGAGGGAAACCATGGGAGCTATACATGTGTAGGACAAGCATAAAGGCCTAAAGCTTTTTTTAAAATTTTTATTTTTTATTGTGAACATACTGTACAGAGGGGTTACAATTACATGGGCAAGATAATGAGTACATTTCTTATCAAGCATTGCAGCCTCCTTCTTTGTTTACCCTTCACATCCCTTCCCAGCCTCCTCCTCCCGCCCCCCTCACCAAAGTTGTAAAGTTCATTTTCGACATGACAACTTGTACTTCTCATTGTTGTAACGGGTCCACAGTTATCCTTAAATGACTTGTTTTTCCCCACAAATTGTACCGACATCAAATATAGTGAAAGCAGGGGTTATACTGTGGGGGAGGGACATACAAAGCAACAAAGAAATAATTTTATGAATGCGTTAGAAACAAAGGCATGAAAGAAAAAAAAAGAATTTACAACTTTGGTGCGGGGGAGGGGGGTACAGGGAGAGGAGAGAAGAGAGGAGGGGGAGGGGGGAGATGGGAAGGGGAAGCAAAGGAGGAGGTAACAATGCCTGATAAGAAATAGACTCATTACCTTACCCATGTAATTGTAACTCCTTTGTACAGTATTTTAACAATAAAAAAAAAAGAATTGTGAGAAAAAAAAAGGCCTAAAGCTATGTACATATACCAGATAATATGATGTTAAGTGAAATGAACACCAAGATAGGGACACAAATATCTTTTTGCTTTCTTGTTAACATATTTATAATGTACCATATGATTTTTTTGTTTCTTTGTATGTTACTCTCCCATGGTATAACCCCTGTTTTTACTGTATTTGATGTCAGTTCTCTGCATCTTGTATATATACTGCTCTAATTCAGGGAGGGTAAGGGAAAAAATAAAATGCTTAAATAAAGATACCCACTGTAACAATGAGATGTACAAGATACTATGTTGAAAACGAACTTTACAACTTTGGTGGTGGTGGTAGAGGTAGTTGTGGAAATGGGAGGGAAGGGATGGTGGGGGAAAACAAAGGAGGAGGCAACAATCTCAATAGGAAACGTACTCATTACCTTGTTCGTGTAACAGTAACCCCTCTGTACACCATTTTTACAATAAAAAATGTACAAAAGAAAAATAAAAATACAATGAAAGTAATGCCTTCAGTGTATCAACATTTTCTCACTTTTTTACTGTACTTTCTTTTACTGTACTTTCTATTTAAAATGATAGGATCTTTAATAACTTTAAATCATTTTTCACATAAGACATGTTTTTAAAAAAGAAAAAAGATTGTAGCAGAGGAAATTCAGGGAGTTTTTCTAATGAAGGAGATATTAAAAGTGAAAATTAGAAGGAAAGTGAAGGTTAAGGTCTTACAACAAGGGGCAGAAGGTATTTCAAAATGAGAAAATAGTATAAGGTAAAAGAGCAATTATGCAGGAGGCAGAGAGAGGAGGACTATGGTTGATTCAAGGCTATAACATTTCACAAGACTCCACTCAACCAAAACTGAGTACAACAGTATGCACCTGTTACCCCAGCTATGACAGAAGGCAAAATAGATGAAGATAGTGGGGTTCGCCAGTCATCCTAAAGGACTGAACAAGCCCAAGCAGACAGATCACAGCCTAGGCCAGCTCAGATATAAAATGAGACCATACCTCAAAAATAACCAACACAAAAGGGGCTGGAAGCTTGTATCAAATGATGAGTGCCAAGTGTGAAACCCTGGGTACAATCCCCAGTATCTGTCACCCTCTCAAAACATGGATGAAGAAATGAGCTGACTAAATTTAACTTCTAGAAAGTATAAATCAGAAATGGAAATTTAGAAATATGAAGAGATGGGGCTGGGAAGGTGGCTCAGTGGTAGAGTGCTTGCCTTGCATGCCTGAGGCCCTGGGTTCGATTCCTCAGCACCACATAAGCAAAAAGAAAAAAGCCAGAAGTGGCGCTGTGGCTCAAGAGGTAGAGCGCTAGCCTTGAGCTGAAGAGCTGAGGGACAGTGCCCAGGCCTAGAGTTCAAGCCCCACGACCGGACCAAAAAAAAAAAAAAAATGAAGAGATGTGTCCACAAATGAACTTACTATAGTGAAAACTATGCCAGTATTAATACATAATAGACGTCTTTCCTAAGGTAAAAAATTAAATTGAATTAATAAACCACTTCAAACTTAAAATGAAACAAGTATTCCAAATATGACAAAGATGGGTATAGAACAAACACTGTATGAATGAGACATGCCCTCTCTCATCCCTGTCTTTTGTGTTTAGTTTTATATTAGAAAATATACATTTACTTTTGTCAATAGAATGTGAAAAATAGATAAAGTGCTATGATTTTGATAGTCACTTAGGACCAACTTAATTAGGAACATGAATGAAGATAAATACAGAAGTGGAAAATACAGAAAATACAAAACACAGAATATTTTAAATATAAAAAATATAGACTATACCCTTTTTATATTAGTAATCATTGAAATAAACAGTCCATACTAAAGTAAAGCAAGGCCCACCTAAACTAAAGGAGAAAGGAATCATTTACATATGTAATGATTAAACACAGTACATCGACTGAATTTCAGTACAGGTGATGTCGAAGGATACAGGAAGAGAGACAAAAAGATGCAGTTCCAAAATGAACAAGGTAAGTATATCATGGTGGCACATCCTTGGAATCACCACTTGGTGAACTGATTCAAAAAGATCAGGAGTTTGAGGTCAGCCTAGGCTACACAACAAGACTAATCTTATCTGAAAAAAACTAAAATGCACAAAAGAATCTTGGCTTATGGAAAGGAGTAAAATGTAAGTTTCACTTTAATTCTTCCCTAAGGCTATTTTAATATGGTTATTCTATAATCAGAATATAACCAATTCATGGCATATAATTCAGGTGGAAATGAGCAAGCTTTTTACATGTAAAGTTATTTTGTCATTGGATAATGTTATGTTAAAAATGATAGCATATACTATCAAAAACTACTGAAGGGTCTTTAACTGTGAGATTTTATACTGCTTGCTTACTCTAACAATCTTATAGGAAACTCCTGGGTCAGAAACAAAAAACTTTTTAATCAGGAGACATCAGAGAGCATGAGCTTCATGTAATCATCTGTTCCTCATGCTCTTCAGATCTCAAAGAAGCAATGTGGATAGGCCTGGACAGCCCCCGCAGCTAAGCAGCCTCAAACTTAGCAAATTCAGTTTTATAAGGGACTGTCATTCTTTCTTATTTTTTTTTTTTGGAGTCATAAACCGATTTATTTAATGGTGACTCCTTTGTACAGCTACTTGAAGATAGTACTTTTTAATGATTTAAAGATAAGAAAACAACAAATTCCTATAGTCACATTTCACAAGGTTAGAAACTTGTCATTCTTTGGCACCTGAGGGAAAAGGAGGAGCACTATCTTTATTCTCTTGGACAAACAAATCTGTCCATTGCTTTGGAGGGAGATATAATCTCTATCTTTGAAGCCTGTTCTCTATACAAATATCCCTGAAAAGATAGTCCAGGACAAAAGCTGTGAAAACCTTTCATCAAAGACATGCAGAAATGCAAGAGTCCCAAGGGAAATTGTCTTTTAGCACATTATAAGTTCTTTATGTTATCATATATTCTTTATGTTATTTTTAACAAAGTAATACAATCTGACTATTTTACTAAAATGCCAAAGTGGAATATAGAAATTTCAGTTTTCCTTAGGAAAATAAAATAGCTGTCTAGTTAACAGATTAAACAAATGTGCTTATGCATTAAACATATGCATTTTATTGAAAATAAGACTTAAATATGTTACAGATGAGTAAAACATGTAGTTGTAATAAAACATTCACTAAAGTGACAAATAACATTTAAATGTCCCTACTAGGAATAATGCGTGGGCTCCAGAAGGATTATGAGTCCGAGTTCTTTAATAAGTCAAAGGTAAATAGACTAGATCCAAGTTCTTTGGACCTAAAAACATTTTTAAAGCCGGGAGCGGGTGGCTCACGCCTGTAATCCTAGCTCTTCCTGCCAACCTGGGCAGGAAAGTCTATGAGACTCTTATGACTAATTAACCACCAGAAAACCAGAAGTGGCGCTGTGACTCAAGTAATAGAGCAGTCGCCTTGAGCTGAAGAGCTGAGGGACAGCGCCCAGGCCGAGTTCAAGCCCCACACCCACAAAAAATTAAAATAAAATTAAAATTTGGCATGAATTTGTTTGCCTATACAATGACTCATTACAAAATATGAAGGTCATGGAAAGGACATATTTATATAAAGGCTAAAACTGGTGCTTAAAATAAGCAAGTCTAAAGATGTAAATATTTTTTGTTAATCTTTATAGAATTTCCATGTCTTCAGTAACTTCACTGTGAGTACTTAAAATTAAAAATCACAGGTAATAGAATGTATATGACATACCTCTCCCAGAGCTTCATATCTTTTCTGATTCCATCTATGCAAGTCTTCCCGGTAGTTAAAAACAAACGGCTCTCCAGTTTTTATGTGTCTTAACTGCCCTCCTAGAAGATAAAAAATATTGCTATGATTATAATTACACTTAAAACAACATGGGAATACAATATGTAATGTCACTAAAATTTAAACTTCCTCCAAAACTTGTTTTTACATATTTTTTGTGCATGTGTCAGCACTGGGGCTTGTATTCAGGGCCTTGTACTCTTGCTTAACTTTTTTGCTCTTAGCTGGTACTCTGCAATTTGAGCTGTGCCTTCTATTCCAACTTTTTCTTGTTTAATTGAAGATAAAAGTCTCACATATTTATCTGCTGACTCCAAAATGTTATACGCAAATCAACTTCCTGAGTAGCTAGGATTATAGGCATGAGCCACTGGCACCTGCCATAAGTTTATTTCCTAAGATTGTTTTATTGTTCAAATGTTAATATGCTGCAAACCTATTAACAGAATAAAAGAATGCTTTCTAAATAACTCAAAAGCTATCCTTGATCTCACTATAAGCAACAATTTAAGGCTTCCTATGTGTAAGAATAGCTACCAAATAATGTCATGAGTATAGCCCTAGCCTCCTCAGAAGAATAAAAGTAGATATATTAAAAAGCTAAGCAATGTTTCAGAAAGTTATACAAGAATAAAGTAAATTAGGGCTGGGAAGATGGCTCAGTGGTAGAGCGCTTGCCTTGCATGCCTGAGGCCCTGGGTTCGATTCCTCAGCACCACATAAGCAAAAAGAAAAAAGCCGGAAGTGGCGCTGTGGCTCAAGTGGTAGAGCGCTAGCCTTGAGATGAAGAGCTGAGGGACAGCGCCCAGGCCCAGAGTTCAGGCCCCACGACTGGACCCAAAAAAAAAAAAAAAAAAAAGAATAAATTGATAATAACTAAGCTCTACTAACAATTCAACAGAGTAAGTTATCAAACAGCTCAGATAAAGCAAGGGAATCTGAGAAGACCTGAGAACTCTCCTCCTTTTCTCTTCTCTTACAGGGAAGCACTCTGGCTCAAAATACATGTGATCTCAAATGAGGCATATACGTTTTCTCACATACTGGTAAGTATTTTGGTTATAGAATATTTCTCTTTTATGTATCAAAGATTTATAGTACTTACGTGGTATTCTTTAGAGAAATACATCTCATATATCAAAGCCTACGTTTATTTATGAGTAGTGCTAAACCAGTCATCCAAAAATTCCATAGTATATGTCTGAGACAAGCAGAAACAATCAGATAAGTTGATGTTAGGTGAAATGAACCCCAAGATAAGAACTCAAATGTTTTTCTTTCTTGCTATTGTTTCTAACATATTTATAAGATATTTTTTGTTGCTTTGTATGTCCCTACCCCATGGTATAACCCCTGTTTTCACTGTATTTGATGTTGGCATAATTTGGAGAGGGGAAGGGAAAAAACAAACTGTTTAAATAGGGATACAGGTGGACCCATTGCACAAATACAAGATATTATGTTGAAAACGAACCAACTTTACAACTTTGGTGGGGGAGGGGAGGACGGGGGGACAAGGATGGGAAGGGGAAACAAAAGAGGAGGCAACAATGCTTGATAAGAAATGTATTCATTACCTTGCTCATGTAACCCCTCTGTACGGTATTTTCAAAATAAAAAAAACTTATTAATATTAAAATTAAAAAATCTATAGACAGCCAGGCATGACTGGCTCACGCCTATAATCCTAGCTACTCGGAAGGATGAGATCTGAAAAGCGTGGTTCAAAGCCAGCCCAGGCCGGAAAAATCCGTGAGACTCTTATCTCCAATAAACCACCAAAAAATTGGAAATGGGGCTGTGGCTCAAGTGGTAGAGTGCTTGTCTCAAGCTGAAGAGCTGAGCAGCAGTGCCCAGGCCCAGAGTTCAAGCCCCATGACTGACAAAAAATAAATAAATCCATAAAGACTTTCCTCATGGCAAATATGAATCTGCATTTACTAAACGATTCAATTGTTAGAATATTTACAAGAGAAAAAACAGGCCATCTGTCCTCTTCCTTTCTTCAGGAATATTCTTCCAGACACAGACCACAGGCCAATAGCTTTAATACTGCCTCCAGGCAACAAAATATTACTACTTGTACATACATTGTCACAAAATACCCTTTGTGAAAACTATAAAAATTAATACCTGAGAAAACATCAAAATTTCTAGTATCTTCTGTTTAAACTCACTTAAACACTCCAGTACCCAGAGACTAAAGTCCCAACAGCTATAATTGACAATGTAAAAGGATAGCCATTAAAGATGACAGACCACTAATTCAGTTGATGCAAAGCAAGAGATAGAAACTACAACTCCCATCCTAACTACTTTGTAGCAACATTACCATCAACTACAATAGTAGAGTATTAATTCAATGAATCACAATTCTTTGTTTCAGATAGATACTTACAGTATGTAGCATATTCTATCACATCCCAAACACAAAGGTTATTTTATTCAGAGCTTAGTTAATGAAATTTTAAACAAAAATTTAACATAAAAATTGAGTATTTTCTTTAAAATACTGTCACAAAAAAGATTCCTAGGTAATTCATTCAAAATGGCAGATGAACGGATCCAGAAATGTGGTGTGTGTGTGTGTGTGTGTGTGTGTGTGTGCGTGCGTGCGTGCGTGCGTGCGTGCGTGCGTGCGTGCGTGCGTGTGTGTGTGTACAGAGAGAGAGAAAGAGTGAAATTCTATGCTTCCATCAGAAAAATAAACATCGCGCCATTCATAAGGAAATGGAAAGACTTGGAAAAAAATCATATTAAGTGAAGTATGACAGACCCAAAGAAACATAGACTCCATGGTTTCTCTCATTTGTAATAATTATTATATGCTTAGGAGAGTCCTAGCAGAGGATCACAATTGCTCAATATGTACATATGAATATATAAAATGATGCTAATCTAAATGAACTCTAAGATATTGAAACAAGTTGGGTTTAGGGGGTTTTGTTTTCGTTTTTAAAGTACTGTGTGAAATTATTTCTTTTTTCTTTTGCTTTCTCCCCTTTGATCTATCCCCTGTTGTCAGTTTTTTATTTTGATACCCAGTGTCTTGTATTTACCTTTATCTGATTTGGGGAAAGGAGGGGGAATAACAAAATGGTGAGGAAAAGGACAAAGAGTGAACCAATACAACAGCAATACACATAAGACACTATGTTGCAAATTAACTTTAAAACTTGGGGGAAGGGTTGGAGGGAGAGAAAGCTGAATAAAAATAAGAGAGGGGTAACAATGTTCAACAAGAAATGTACTCATTACCTTACTTACATAACTGTAATCCCTCTGTACATCACCTTTACAATAAAATAATTTTTTTTAAAAGATAGCAGGCCAAAAATAACATCTTTCTGTAGAACTTAGGAATTTCCATTTGGATATCAGGGAACTAAGTGCTCAGGATAGAAGTAAACTAAATCATGTTCATAACTTTATGTAATTCAACAAGTATAGAAAAACAAATTATTTTTCTCAGTGGGCCTGGGTGCTGTCCCTGAGCTCCTTCGCTCAAGGCTACTGCTATACCACTTAAAGCCAAGCTCCATTTTCAGTTTTCTGGTGGTTAATTGGAGATAAGAGTTTCTTGGTCTTCCTTGTCTATCTGGCTTTGAACTGCAATCCTCATATCTCAGCCTCCTGAATAGCTAAGATTACAGGTGTGAGCCACCATACCTGAATAAGTACAGAAAATTCTTACTTGGTTTTGTTCCTTAAGTAAAGGATTTTACCATATAAAGACAAGTTATTATTCCTCAAAACACCACCAGCCGGGTGCTATAATCCTACCTACTCAGGAGGCTGAGATCTGAGGATTGCAGGTTTGAAGCCAGCCAAAGCAGAAAAGTCCCTGTGAGACTCTTTATGTTTTGTTTTTATACGATTTTTATTGTAAAAATACTGTACAGAGGGGTTATAGTTACATGAAGAAGGTAATGAGAACATTTTTTATCAAGCATTGTTGCCTCCTCCTTTGTTTTTCCCCTACTATCCCTTCCTTCTCACCTCCCCAACTACTCCTCACCTCCTCCCCCACTCTGCCCAAGCTGTAAAGTTCATTTTCAACATTATCTCCAATTTACCACTCCAGAACTGAAAGTGAAGCTGTGACTCAAGTGGTAGAGCACAAAGAGGCTTGGGGACAGAGTTCAGGCCCTGAATTCAACCTCCACAACTGATTAAAAACAAACAAACAAACAAAAAAACCCCACCAAACAGCTGCATTTTAAGAGTAACAAATCATATCTATTCTATGACTGCATTTATTAAATAAGGTAAACAAATTTTTAAATAATTTTTTAAATAAAAGTATTTTGAATATAGCATATAGCACTTACTTTCATTAAAAGCATACTCAAATCCTTCAAGGGTATCAGGAAAATCAAGAGGTGGTTCATCTTTTTTCATTAGTTCATCCAAATCTATCCTAGATAGCAAATCTACAAAAAAAAAAAATACAAAATTTACTTACATTTATTTTCATAATTGATGACAAACATTATAGTTTAACTTACGTTAAAGTATTATTTTGTCCTTTTATGCTAATATTATTGTTGCTTTACCTGATAATGCTATAAAATTTAACTTCCCAAAATGCTATTTTGTGATACAATATGAACACTCAAAATTGTAATCCTCAAAACATCACAACTCAGATACCAAAAAATCACTATGATTCAGCCATTAAGTCTTATCTTAATAACCTCTTTCTATAGTTTAAAATTACACATTATCCTGCCCATGTAACTGTAACTCCTCTGTACAGTATGTTCACAAATAAAATTAAATTAAATTAAAAAAAAATTTTCAGATATTTTAATAGATCACTGAATCTTGAATTTGAACCAAAGAGTGGTTTATGACCTTGGCAATCATGAGGAAAATGAAGCATGTACTGCATTTAGTTAAAATAACCTTCAATTTGGATGTATTTCATATTTTCTTTCAAAAAATATTTCATATTTTTCTCTGGGCTTAGAGTTCTGAGCTTTTGAAAGGATATCATTGAATTCAACTGAAATTCTTATCATGTCATGTCAAAGGGAATATGATATACACATTATATCTCTGTGGTATTCATCTTTATCATGTGATTGAGGTATCATCTACCAGACTTTCCCACTATAAAGACAGAATTTCTCCTTCAATAACCCCTTATTTAAAGGTGACTAAATTTCTCTTTCTTTAACCTCTTATTCAAAGGTGATAAATCTGACCTTCCCTCAATAATGGAGAGAAGGAATTATGTTCTACCTCTGTAGTAAGAAACACCCCATATATTACTTAACCCTTTTGTGTGGAAAAGTCATCTCTTTCAATTTAAACAAATATTCAATCACTTATTTGTATAATTACATACTCATGGACACTCACCATACACTGTAAGTACACAATAGTATATTAATGAATTATTGTTTCCTAGATTGTACCAGCTATAGCCACTGTAAATATTTTCAGTTGTCTCCTGTTTCCTTTTGATATAATCTTATCTCTTTTTTTGCATTTTCTCAATTTCTATTATTATTAGCTGCCCCAAGCTTATCTTGTATCTTCTACACACCAGCTCTTGAATCATCTCATCAATAAGTATTTAATGATAGTTTTCACGCTCACATTCAGGTGACATAAAAATTCTGTATCTTCACAATTACTACCAAAATCAGAAATTGTTTTCTAATTCAAGTTTCTAAACACAAACTCTCCTAGAATATGTCATAAGGCAAACTATTCCCTTTCCTACAAAAGTATCTCAGAAGTAACTTTATTTCTCTTACAGAGATAAAACAAATCCATTACTATGAAATATTATCAAAATATACTGGAGAAAAAGGTATTTTGTTCATCTCCATTCTCTAGTCTTTAGTCTTTCTCTGTAGAGCACAAAGGTAGGCCAGAGCACACAGCTTTATAATATTCAAACTTGTTATCAATAAAACTCAAAAAAGTACAGAAATTTCCAACATAGAAATGTTCACAAATTCTACTAAAACAGAAATGACACATAATATATGTGTTGAGCCATAAAAGCTACATCTGCTGCCAATTCCACACTTATTAATAAAGTTCTAAATACATGTAAATGTTTACAAAACATAGTAAAGATACATATTTCCAAATAAATATACTGGCTTATAATGGCTTAAAAAGATTCACTTTTCTCCTTCTAATGAATTAATATTCTGTGGTAAAATCAAATTCTTTCCCTTCACAGTTATCTTCTACAACTCAAAACTCAGAAACCTTTTAAATTAGATACCCAGAAACCATCTAATACATGAACAGATGTGTTATGTCTAAAAGCCATTTTCTGTTTCTACCAGCTTAAAACACAGCCTTATATCTACATACCACTTTAAATATTTCAAAGCACTTTCACAAACATTACCTCTTTTGATCAGCACAATCCTATGAAACAGTAACAAGCATTATCAGCCTTACTATCTTTAAACAAGAAAATAGGCTGAAAGAAGTGAAATGACTTCTCCAAATTATAGCTTAACAGTGAGAATTATAAACACGTCTTTCACAACCTCATTGCTCCTTCAAAACCAACACATTGATTCTATATGCCACACAACCTAATAATGTTCCATACCCCCATTTTCTCCCATTACAAAGAATGAATGATTATAAACACAAAACTATGTTTATGTTTTGTTCAAAATGTTCTTTTGACATAAAGAGAAAAAAAAGTTATTTCTCAATTTTTCCTGTCAAGAATCTGATACAGATATTTTTAATTTTTCTAGCATTGAAAGGACACAGAAAAGAACTGTAAGAAAATATTTTTCTGCAAAAGGAAAGCCATACTGTAAAGTTGCATTTTACTCTGAAACTGTGATTCAAAGCAGTCCATTATGCAAAAATCAAGCACAATGTAAGATTTACATTGAAAATCCCTTCACTCACCTATGAAATATAGTAGATTTGAATTTATCTTAACCTAAATATGCATTAGATATAACATAACTGTGTTTTCTAAAACTTGGCTCTGGTGATTAAGGTGATATAGCAGGAAGAATTTTAAATATCACCTAAGCAAATGCAACAATTGTAAAAAAAAATAATATTCTTCCATTCCAGAAAGAATTGAAATCAAGGACTCAAACAGATCTATATAAAGTAGTCACAACTCAGTATTCACAAGTGGAAAGCAACAGAGTATATATCAAGAAATGAATGGTGTGATGGTTCATTTTATGTGTCAATCTGTGTCACAGGATATCCAGATATTTGATTAAACATTATTCCAGAAATGTTGATGTGGGTATTACTGGACAAAACATTTGATTTTGGTATAGTAAGTAAAGCAGAGTCTCTCCACAATCCAATCCTATAAAAGCCTAAAAGCGAGGAAAATACAGGGGGAAATGCACTGTCTCTGCCTATCTCTGTTAAGACACCAGTTTTGTTCTGCTTTCAGACTCAAATGGTCTCCCCCTTATGCTGTAGGACTTGGATAGAACCATACTACCAGCTGCCTTGGATTTGCCCACTGCAGATCTTGATATTTCTCAACTTTTATTATCATATGGGCCAATCCTGTATAGCAAATCTCTTCCTATATGCATACGTATATATATATATATATATACACACAATTTGTTTCTCTAGAAAACTATGGCTGATATAAATGGATGAACCAAATATGGTATAGACATACAATAAAATATTATTCTCCCTGAAAAAGGAAGGGTATGCTGATGTAGCTATCATGCATGATTCTACACACAAGAAACACAAATATTGTATGCTTCCACATATACGGGGCATCCAGAATAATTAAATTCATACACAGAAAAAGGAGAATGGTATTTCTAAGAGGATGGAGATGAAAAATCATCGTTTAATACAGTTTAATACAGTTTAGTAATTGTTTAATACAGTTTAAATTTTATAAGGCAGAAAGATTTCTGGAAATGGAGGGTGGTGATGTTACAATTTGAATGTACTTAATGCCATAGAACCATACAATTAAAGATGGCTAAGTTTGGGGGAGGGGCGGGGGAGATGGGCAGGGATGGTAAGGGGAAACAAAGGAGGAGGCGACAATGCTTGATAAGAAATGTACTCATTACCTTACCCATGTAATTGTAACCCCTCTGTACGGTATTTTCACAATTAAAAATAAAATAAGATGGCTAAGTTTATATCACACATAACTTAATATGATTAAATAAATTCCATTTTAAATATTCATTTATTAAACCTTTAAGAGCTAAATGAATATCAAAAACATCATTGGAACTTTGTTTGGAGCCAAAATGTATTGAATTTTTATTATTCCCATTCTCCTTAAACTGGAAATCTGAACAATATATGTGAATCAACAGTTTTTCAGAGGTTAGACAAAAAACAGACAGAACTATAAGAAACATGGCATAAAACCCTTGATTAACCTCCCTTTATTATCTGGAAACAGTTGAAAGCACAATAGGAAGGAGAAACAAAAACAAAAAAATTAAAGACGCCTAAATTAAAGACACCTTAATAACTCAAGGTGGCTGGGCTCAGGAGTACAGAATGAGAGCAAAAGAAACTGGTTAGAGAAAGACAGAGAGTGAGAATGAGAGAGAGACAGAGACAGACAGAGACAGAAACAGAGACAGAGACAGAGAAAGAACGGAACACAGCCACAAAAGGATTGTACCCTGTCTAACTAATTGCCTATGGCATCAATGCAAAATAACCAGGCACACAAACAAGCATAGAATTATAATACACAAGCAAAGAGAAGAAATCAATTAATAAACTAGAAATGATAAAAATGAACAATTAACAGGAAAGATAATTCAACATCGACTTCAATTAATCTACTCTAAAATGCAGAAAAAAATAATTAGAAAATGAACATAAAGTTTTCATATTCAAAGAAACACAGTTTCAAAAGTTTTTTAAGATCTTAAATTAATAGCAAAACAATTACAAAAGGAGTAAACTTTAAGATCTAATAACAAATTATATGTAAGACCACAGGAGAAAATAATAGCAAAAAATGTCAAATGACTTGTAAAGAAATGTCAGTTCATCTAAAATAAAACATTAAGGACCCCGCTTTTTAAAAATCAACATAGGAGGGATATTGGGAATTGAGAAAAATATTTTAATCATTTTCACAAACACAATGAATAAGCAGAATAAACACTGACACAACTAAACAAAAGTAGGTCCCAATTCCAGAAGATACTGTGCTATATCTCTCATATAAAATCCTACAAGTAGATAAAAAATAAATTAAAATAAGTCAATTACATACAGAGAAATCAAGATAATAAGAACAGAAGGCATTTCTGAAGAAATCCAAACCAGAAGAAAAAGGAATAATATATATTCAACAGGAAGAAAGGAAGGAAGGAAGGAAGGAAGGAAGGAAGGAAGGAAGGAAGGAAGGAAGGAAGGAAGGAAGGAAGGAAGGAAGGAAGGGAGGAAGGGAGGAAGG